TTTGTTGTAGGGCACCAGAGCCATAAGCGAACGCATATTCGACGGTAGACAATGGAAGAACACTAATCAGCTCTTCGTACTGCTCCGTTGACATCCACCTGAAAGAAACATATCAGCTGAAATCGTCAACTCAGCTAGGAATTTCAGGCGAGTACAGTTCACAAACATACGGTGTTAGAAAATTAAATGCTACGCTACAACCATTTGTCAGTGAATCGAAAGACTGTGTTTTTAGCATAATTGTGGATAACGAACGTGCAATTTTTTGATAAACGGTCATTCCATCCACAGAATCAAAGAACTCTCGTCTACGGAAAAAAAGAGATTCGTGAATACAGGGTATACTCTGCCGTGGGAATACGCAGTGCGGTTATGCTACGGCGGTAGGAAAAGATCATTTTGGGTGGGCATGAGGCTAAATTGCGCCAGAAGTTGTGTTTACCTCATTCCTTATAATGCAGGCAGTGCCGTACAATACGCTATACGCTCCATATCCTGGGGATAGAGAGAGCGTGGCTGTGTGATCCTCTTATGCATAGCGGAGACACTTTTTTGGTATATTGCCGTTACTGAGTATTATTTGACAGTACAATTTGACTGACAGCTGTATCAAATAAAAGCTCCTCAGGGAAACGATTTTCTACGTATGATTGACGAGCATAGCCACGCCCTCTCCATCTCCGTTGGGCTGCGTTCATACTTCGCGGCAGCGTCCTCCAGAGGCCACCAGCGTCCGCCAGCGATCAGCAGCATTGCGAGCACCCGTCAGCGTGAGCGACGGGAAACTATAGATAGCTATCTAGCAAACGGCAGCGTTTGCAGAGTCACCAGCGTCTTGCCAGCGTCGCAAATGGCAAGGAAACTATGGATATAGATCTAGCGTCTACCAGCGTCCATCCGCGACAGTACCGTGTGAGCAGTAGTGCGGTGCGGTTGCACACGCCACAATTTCACAGCCCCTGAGCCAGCTGTCTATTTCATCCTTCTTCTTCATACTCTGCCTGCAGTCTGCTGCCCTGCTACATTCCCATATTCTCCACTCCTCACTGCTGGTGCTGGGCTGACAGTTGCTGCCGAACGCAGGTGGACGCTAGCAGACGCTGGTGGACACTGCAGTTCGCTACATGTCTGTACTTTCCTAGTCGCTCCTGCTGACGGACGCTTGAAACGGTGCTGGTCGCTGGGACGCTGGTGGACGCTGCTGCAAACTATGAACGCAGCCTTATATTGGATATAACTGGGCTGATGTCAGCAAAACTGGATCATCCAAGCAGGAACATTGCTCGAGAGGTAACTGTGACAAAAGTGTTTTATCTAGGTTCTGGTATACCTGAAATGAAGACTGTGTTGCGTGGTGTGATTCTCAAAGAATATCTCAGCATTCGAACTCTTGTATCGAAAGTTATCGGTCTCACGTTGTCGCTAGGGACTGGCCTACCAATTGGCCGAGAAGTGAGTGCTAGAGTTCTGAGGGATCAACTCCCAAATAATTTTACTCAGCAAACGCATTTTAGGGTCCGTTCGTGCATATTGCGTCGGTGGTGGCAAACCAACTGAATCGCTTCCTCACCAGGACAAGTGGTGTCTTCCAAAACGAATCGAGAGCCAACGAGTTGCTCGCCGCCGGTTGTGCTGTCGGTGTGGCATGCACGTTCAGTGCTCCCGTTGGAGGTAAGTTTTCTTCGCTGTTCTGAAACAATCCGCTCTATTTGACACGTACGTGAGGTCATGCACTTTCTTCCTTGGCCTGGTGGTAATCGGTGTGCTACGACTTTCGTGAGATTTTGGATGAGTTCTTTTTGCTCGTATATATCTGTGTTCGAGATAGTATCCAAGGAGTGGAAAAGAGTCTAGCTGCTCCACAAAGCATTCTTTGCTTTTTTTTTCTTTCTCATCTTCATGGTCGAGGTGCTCCTCTTCTGTCTGCTGTCGGCAGGACGGGAATGTCACTTCTACCTTGCTCCTATACAGCTTGATGCTATCCCTGACTCTGAACTTCTCCAAAATTTCGCCCAGGACTCGCAAGTGTCAAGGTAGCG